AACAAGCCATAAATGGTGCCCCTGCTGAATTTTCAATTTGAACTACAAGTATATAAAAAAAATGGGCTATAAATACAAGCAAAAAAACATATTTAGGATACGGCCCAGCCGCCCAGCCCAGTTAAGGGGTAACCAGTAACCTAGTTCCCCAACACCCCCGTCCTTTCCATCCCGCTTCGTTTCCACAACAGGTGGCGGCGGCAGGCCGGCGGCAAGCCGACGACGAGCTCCTCCTCCTTCCTCACTGACTCCGCGTCGTCCTCGTCCCCGAATACCCCTCACCCTCAGCCCCTCTCACGCAGCACCAAGGTATGCTCTCAGCTTCGACGCTCCTGCAGTGGCACCGATGTATGTGTCGCAGCTTACATGCTCGAGGAGCAGTTCACCGGAGGCAAGCCGGTGGTGGCTAATCCGGTGCTCCGGCTCCTCCCCCCTCCCCCCTCTCTTATATAAATTTGCAGCTACCCTCCCTACGCTACAAGTATATCTGTTTTGGTGTTCTTCTGCATGATAGTAATATGTAAATCTGTACCCATGTTTAGGAGAAAATCTAAACATCAAACTAATTTGTTGTTCATACTGCATAGTAAATAACTATTTATCGTTATTATTTTTAAATTAGTCAAACGTATCCCCCTATTGACACTTTTAAAAAATGACGAATTTACGTATCTGTATCGGTGCATTCTAGGCTATAAGTCATCCGATATTTTTTATTTTTTGATGGATTGAAGAGATCAGTGCTGATTTTGATTCTGAGATACTAGCGCAGCTTGATTTCAAAATTCTGCCCAAATTTCGGTTATTTTTCGTTCAAATTTTGGTACAATTTCGTTAAAGAATTCAATTTTTGGTTTGCACTTTTCGTCCTTCTTAATCACCTACGGTTTGAATTGCGCACAGTTTTGAACTAGCATTGTTTGAGAGTTAGAAATTTAATCTAGAATTTATTTCTGAAATAGATATCAAACTGACAAGCAACCTTTTCCAATGGCTTGACACCTGTTGTTTTAAGATTTAACACCCATTCCTCTTCTAGAAATAGATATCAAATTGATTAGTTGTATGCTCATGTTTATTATACTCGTCCATTATTTTGATTCCAAATGGTGTAGCAAGCCCCAAAATTCCTACAAAACTGATATTTCACCTAGCAGTGATACTGATATGCAGGATCACTCTTTTTTTATTTGGCTAATGTTTACCCGTGTTCTATTTATTTTTTTACAAACTGTGGAATATGTTGCCTCTTTTTGGCCTCCTTTTTTTAGAATCATGTCACTGTTGGTGCGCTCAGTTTGCGTCATAAAATTGCTACATGTGTAGTCTAGGGATAAGGTTGCAGATAGTACAGATTTGCTTTGTTTTGTCTCAAACATAGTACATTTTCTTCCTTTCTTAGAATCCTTTCAGGAATATAGTTTTCTGTAAGTATGATGGTTTTGCTCTTCAGTAACCTACTTCTTTCTTCTGGGTTTTTCCCGAAAAAACTAATTTCTCCCATTTCGTTTGGGACCGGTAAAAAACTCTAAACGAAATCCAAAAGCTTGGCCAGGATACCCCAGAATAATACCACCATGACCGGTGGCAAGATCCAGAAGAAGCGCCACGGTGGCGGCGGCGGGGGCGGTGGCGCGCGGCTGCAGGGTGGGATCCCGTTCGAGAAGTCCAAGGGCCAGCACATCCTGCGGAACCCGGCGCTGGTGGACTCCATCATCGCCAAGGCCGGCCTCAAGCCCACTGACACCGTCCTCGAGATCGGACCCGGAACGGGAAATCTCACCAAGCGGCTGCTCGAGGCCGGCGTCAAGGCCGTTGTTGCCGTCGAGCTCGACCCGCGGATGGTTCTCGAGCTGAGCCGCAGGTTCCAGGGCCACCCCCTCTCCTCTCGCCTCAAGGTACAAGAGCTCTCCTTTGTGGCTCCTATTTTTCTCATATTTGTGGAAAAATTGTTTTTCTGAAATTTCTAGGTTTGTGCTGTGCTGCTGTATCTGTTTTCTACTGTGCTTGCTCTGCAATAGACTGCTCAGAGATTGGTTTTGGGCGGTAAACGGGTAACTCAGGGTTGTATGCTGTTGGGCTCATTGAGCTGAACTATTATGTGTCTTAGCAGTGCCGTTCTGTTTTCCCCCCTAAGTAGCTGAGTTAGCAAGTGCTACATAGTGATTCTTCCTGTCAACACAGAGCAATAGCTATACATGTATGAGTGAGTTTTGCGTCTACACTCTACACCAACTGACAACTTCCATATTCTTGGTTGTTAAAGTTACTAGGCAGTAGGCACTGTTGCATATTATTGTGAATAATTGTAGCACAATACTGTATGACTGATCAGCTAATATAGGGTACTATTGTTGTTTTAGGAGCACTAAGATTGTCTTGATACGATGGACATGATTTAGTTTGAAAGTAAACTGCAAATTTGGTTTATAATAAATAGTGACGAATGAGTTATGGTAACACTGGTGACTATCAGAAGGGGAGACAAAATGTAAACCAATCAAGCTTATATCAAGTCCACTCTCTTTCATCACTCTTCAGTTTTAATTTGAACCAAATGTTTTGTTAATAAAAATGAGTATTCTTGTGAACCATAAAATGCAGGTTATCCAAGGAGATGTTCTTAAATGTGATCTTCCTTACTTCGATATCTGCGTGGCAAACATCCCATACCAGATATCATCCCCCCTTACATTCAAGCTTCTGTCACACCGTCCGATCTTCAGGTGTGCTGTGATCATGTTTCAACGTGAATTTGCCATGAGACTTGTAGCACAGCCTGGAGACACTCTGTACTGCCGTCTGTCAGTGAACGTGCAGCTCTTATCTCGCGTGTCACATCTGCTGAAGGTTGGACGGAATAACTTCAGGCCTCCACCTAAGGTAGATTCCTCAGTTGTGCGTATCGAGCCAAGGAAGCCCCTCCCTCCTGTCAGCTTCAAGGAGTGGGATGGACTCGTGAGGATTTGCTTCAATCGGAAAAACAAAACGCTGGGCTCCCTTTTCAAGCAGAAGCGCGTCCTCGAGCTGCTAGAGAAGAATTACAAGACAATGCAATCTCTCCAGCTTGCCCAAGATCCTGAAACGGGGGAGGAGAAGATGTCACCCGACGATGTCGCGTTGCTGGCCAATATGGTCGAGGACCTGAGCATGGAGACCAGTGACGAGAAAGAGGACGATGACATGGAAATGGATGACTCCGACGCGGCAGATGGCCGTGCTAGCTTCAAGGAGAAGATTATGGGTATATTGCAGCAGGGTGATTTTGCAGAGAAGAGGTCTTCCAAGTTGAGCCAGGTTGATTTCCTCTACCTGCTCTCTCTGTTCAACAAGGCAGGTATACATTTTTCGTGAGGGCCTGAGCCAGCTAGCTTGAGACGGATCCTGAAAAGCCATGCTTATTTTTTGGTTTATTATATGTATTGTAAAAGTCCTATATATAAGTCAAAAGTCATCTATGTGATATTTTGCTCTGAAACGTTTTTGACACCGTCGATTTTGCCCCAGCTTTAGAGAAGTCGGATAACTGCAATGAAAGATGTTCAAACGGTTTGATAGTATTATGCCCTTGTTGAGGGTATGAAGCGGATTGTTTGTTTTGCCTGCTCAAAATGCAAGTATAGTTGCCATTTCAGTACTCCTATTTCGTATTCAGAATCGAGCAAATCTCTCATTTACTGGGTGCCAAGGCCATTTCGCAGTGGCAAACGAGCTAGCACCGACCTGGTCGACGCCCACGTGAAAGCGCTCAACAAGGCGGAGAGAGGCAATGTTGGCACATGAAGAGGTAAATCATCATATCATCAACACATATTATGTTATGATGATGGTGATGTACTGATGTCATACATTCTCTTTATCTTTCTATTCCACATATAAATCGACTACTTCCCTCGCCGCCCCGGTGACTATGCGGAAGTGTACAGCAACCCCGCAAGGATCAACCACGAACTAAACTGGACAGCCCAACACACCGAACTACAAGAGAGCTGCAGGGTTGCGTGGACATGGCAGAAGAAGCACCAGAGCGGCTACGGGCAACCTCAGGCCATGATTCTGTAATGGAGTATGATCATCAGTTACACAATAATTTATATAGGGTATGGTCATTTGTTCAATTCTTGAGATTTTATATTTATATATGGCAACTTCATCAGTTATAAATATTGATATGTTCTTCCACTGACTGCAATGGTTGTCGGCTTTTTGATAATCCTGGGCCTAGAAAACAAACCGAGCGACCACATATTAGGCAAGGATTGGATAAATTGGCAGCGATCCAAACAGGTGTAAGGCTGTCGGTCAACACTAAAAATTTGGTAAGGATATTCCTGGGCGCCATCCCAACAAGCCCTCGGATCTCCACCCTATGTTTCAAAATAAGTGTCGTGGTCTTGGTTCAGATTTTAGATATAAGGTTCCAACATGGTAGCTCATTATAATGATCTGAACAGGTTTTGTACAATTTTACAAATCAACAGCCTTTGTTTAAATTCAACCAACAAGATGTGGCAGCTTAAAAGTACAAAACAATGAACTCCACACTTGAATTACTTGACAGAAACCTTCTGCTAAGGGGCCTGCTATGGAGCTGTTGAGATGCTCAATCAGAAACAGAAAATGAACACAAACTAGTGTATCAGGGGCAAGCCAGATTGATGCGCCTTCAGCTGATTGGGTGCCCAAACCCTCCCTAGACACAAGCAAAATGAATGACCAGATGAGAATGTTTATCATCTCTTAAGACTGTAAAATCATGCTTGATGTGTTTACTACCTTTGCCCCTCTGTCCTCTTGCTTCTCTAGCTTCAGAAAGTTGGAGCGGTCAATGATCGTCATCCGCAGTCACAAACTGTTCCGCATAGGGAAACCATCCTTATACAAGAGAAGAAACCAAACTGTTCAATGATTGTCATCTGCAGTCACAAAAGCATTCACCATAAACGAATTATGTCAGTACCATATAGCATTAACATACAAAAAATATATAGAGTTTGTACCTAATCGACAACTTGAGTATTTGGTGAGCTCCCATTCTCAATAGAAGTTGGATCCAGTCGAGCCGAAATGGCCACCTGTAGGTTTTCACCTGAGGGCCCACCTGATTGCATGGCATTATTTATTGGCATGACACTGCAATTGGAAAAATGGAAACTAAATTTACAGATGCAAGCTTGGCAGGTTGGGCCGACTCAACAATCCATCTAGTTAATTTGTTTTTATCACTAAAAGGGGAGCTATGTGCATGATGTGAACTAGCAAGCCATGTTTTTATTTCTTTACCGAGGGAGTACCAATTAAGTACTCCTAGAAGTGTACCATTAATTTAATAAAATGAGTCATAGGGCTTCATCCAGAACTAAATTACGGGATTTTTTCGTAAAACAGGACCAATATATTGCTGTAACTTGAATTTAAGTACCTATTGTTCTTGCTGGTTCCATTTCCGCGGGCAAAGGAAATGCAATCAGCAAGCCGTGAATATTCATCGACGGTCCCTTCTGCCATGTTTATTAGCTTGGGTCTGTAAACAAGGAATCAAGAAACTTAGACAAAATACATCACCTCATTGACATTTGGCACAAATATGCCTACGTAAAGAAATACGAATTGGAGAATGAGCTACCTTGGAGTAGACTTCCGCTTCATCTTATTCGTATTTCCAGTATCAATGCCTCTTTCTGCAGCAGCTTCAGAGGGCACACTTGGAAGGTCCATCTCACAAGTGTTCACCTCACCATCTGTTTTTGAATTGCCTTTGGCTGATTTCCTGTACAAAAGAAGTAAATGACTCTTTATGTCACTGAAAATCTACGAGGAAGCAGATATAGATGATGTCAGACACTATTGAGTAATTTATTTATTTTGCCATGATCCATGTTATACCTTGATACTCTCTTCCTTTTCGTTGTGTTGCCTTGGTTGTCAATAGAGACTGAACCCCTCATCCTATTTTTGACTGCTCTCCCATCACCAACAGAGATAGAGCCCCTCATTTTCTTTTTGACAGGTCCCTCGTTGCCGACAGACACAGAGCCCCTTGTTTTCTTTTTAGCTGTGCCTTCTTTACCGACGGACGTAGGGTCCCTCTTTTGATTAGTAGGTGCCTCATCATCGAAACTGATAGGGCCCCCAAGTATATCTAGGGTGAGCTCGTTATCAACAGAGATTGATCCCCTCATTCTTGTTTGCACAACCACATCGCCATCAGTGGTAACTTTCCTCTTCCTAGCTCTGCTGTGGCCCATAGAGGAATTGTTGACACCATCAGACACAGTTATATCCTCTCCAGTTTGGTTTTCAGCTCCAATTCTGTAAAAGCAAGTATGAAACAAACATGTGAGCACTGAGCCGGCATAAGGGAGTGAAATTCAACAGTCGAGCATAAGTAAATGTTACAAGCCATACCCAGATAATTTTTTCCTTGATTTTCTCTTGGTGGTGTTTACAGCGGCAGCATCAGCAGAAGATTTCGAGGGGTCGTTAGGTGGCACGTTATCCACACTTGATTTTCTCGACCGTTTTCGAGGTTTCTTGACTTGATCACTGAAAAACAGGGACTGGTGAGGAAGAGAACATAGCTAAAACTACCTTCTTTTTATTGTTTGAAAGCATAAGAATTGAAAGTACTGTACCTCACAGTGTTCTCATCACCCTTGTCAACTTTCGAGTACACAAGTGATGGGAAGTCACTGGGGCAAATTGCAGGTCGCTCTGTTTCTCTATCAACAAAGTTGGTCTGGAAAATAGATTTCTTTACTTGATTGGCTGCTATCATTAAAGGTAATTCATCTTGACACAGTCTTTTCCATCGCCTGCAGTTACAAATGGAATAACCATTAGCAGCAAAGTTTGTACTTGCTTCGGTTGGTGGGGCAGCTCCTCCATCATGAAGTGCATTATTAATTTGAAGTTTCAAGCAACACATCAGAATTAAATCATGTAAAATCTGAAAGAGAATAGGTTTATGGTTTACCTCAAGCACATATTATCAGTACGGTGAGGAATCATAGCCCCAGCAATCTTGGACCAGCAGGGACCAACCTCATGGACTGAAGCCAATAACTTCGAATCCTCTTCAGGGCGCCATTCCCCATGCTCTATATCCGGATCAAGAACATTACGCCACCTGTTTAATGAGGATAAAAAATAGCATCACCATCAAACCATAAGCTTTGACTGACATGGTAAAACTACTACATTACCTCTCGCTGCATTGACTTTGCGTACGGCCAGGAACAAACTGAGCAATCTTATTCCAGCTGCCAGACCTAAAAAGCTTGACAGATACCATGAGGCGCTTGTCCTCGTCCTCAGACCATCTCCCCACCCTTTTCCTTTCAGGGATTAGCGTTTTCCTGTACCTAGTAAAGTTCGACACAATGTATGTCAAATATACCTCAACCAAGGAAAGTAAGAGATTATCCACATAAAACTAGTAAGGACAAAGATTAAATACCATTAAAAAAGGTAACCACAATAAAGAGTGATAACAAATGTGCCATAAAAGAAAGTGCAATCACATAGGTTTGATAATTTATCTATGTAAAATTAGTGAGGAAAAATATTAAATACCATTAGAAAAGGTAACCACGATAAAGAGTGATAAAGTATGTGCTGTGATAGAAAGCGCAATTGCATAGGTTTGATAGTAGGAGGTCTGAAAGACAAGTCAAAGAACAGTACCTGTTAGAGCACTGGTTGCCAATGCGACCAACCAGATTAGCTGATACAAGTTGCCAGTTACAACCATAAGTTTGGATAGCAGCTAAAAGTAGAAGATCTTCCTCTTTTGTCCAGGTCCTCTTCAATATGTGGGGATTAAGACTTCGTTGATAACGGGCAAGGCACTGGAAAGGTGTTCTCTGCGTACCCAATGCAACCGCAATATTAATCCAGTTATGCATTCCTTTTTCTTGGACAGTTAGTATAAGTCTTTTCTCCTCACATGCAGTCCAGGCGTTGTGATTAATCAGTGGGTCGTCATGGTTTAGCCACCTAGAGAATAAAATTACAATTTCTTGAATTAGGACTGGCCAATTGAAAACACAGATACAGACACATACTGCAGAAACGTCAAATAACAATATCAGGAGAGATGGCAAAGTAAGATCTAATGAAACTTCTGCACGATGAGAGAAATGAACATTGCTCCGTGCGCTAGAAGAGAAAAATATCTTTTAGAGAAAAAGTACCTTGATTCGCATTCAGCACCGGATCGACCAGGCAGGTACATAGCAGCGATAAAGTCCCAGTTTACTAATGGCAAGACTGACCGGAGAATCTCAGGAGTCGCCTCAAAATTACCCACAGTGTTTGTCAGTGCATAAGCCATATCGACAGCACTGAAGTCACCACTGGAACTGCAGAACGAAAACAATTAACAGAATAAGATTTTGTGTCAACTCTTCTAGCAGAACAGCAAGTAAAATTACATTAAAACTCACAAGTTTGGCATCAAACCTACATCTCAATTTGTGGAAAACAAATACCCCAGTAGCACAACTACAGAGGTTAAAGACTGTCAATTCATAATTTATAGATAGTTCAGTCAGAAACCCATCGAATTCATATTGATAAACCCATTAAAGAAAAATGGAAAATAGTACTGTAATTAATAAACAGACTGCATAATGGAGAAACACGAGAACTACAAACTTACACAAAACTTTTAATGCTCTTGAAGCTTAAAAAGGGGTACTCTTCAAGTATTAGCAAAGAATAATTGATAGAAACTATGACAATTGGTTCTTCAATGTGATTAAGTCATGATTTAAAATCCACGACTGAAATAGAAGATGAAAATGCTACATTAGTGAAAGAGTCGAATAATTCGACAAACCTTCCATTCTTCATCGAGTCCTTAATTAACGCTTCCTGATACTGCTGCTTTATTCCTTTAGCAAGCCTGTCTTTCTCTATATCTGACCATGGATGCTTCTGAAGCGACACTGGGAATTGCTTCAGAACTGCTTTATACTTCTCAACGTGAGGGTTCTCAGCTGGGCCGAGAAGTAATGCAGGCATCTTATATTTATTCTGCAAGAAAAGAATACTCTTTTCTAAGTGCCATATTATCTTTTCCTAAAAATATAGGTGACAAACACTTGGCAATCATGTTCATGCACATGACAGAGCAATATGTGACTATATTTCCATGGTCCGCGAGCTAGTAGGTTTTTGTGTATCATTCTCTCAGTTATGAAATGGAAAACAATGGTTCGGCCAACAGAGGAAGAATATGTGTGTGTACAATAGAAACAATACATTTAGAATTAATCTAATAAATAAATTGATTAAGTGTGGTAGAATAGCAATTCAATGTCCTAAAATAAAGAATAGCAATTCAATAGAATTCCACAAGATACATACATGTTCACAAGAAAAGGATCTGAAGTAATTTAGTCAACAGACTCAACATGGCTGAAAAGGCTGTCACAACATTATTGCAAATCAGCATCTAGCTTCTTATACAATAGAGACCTACCCTGCTAATCAGCATACACAAGTCTCATTCATACAAAATTTGTTCAAGATGATTACCAGATCCAAATGGATGCTATTTCATATTTGAATTTCCACCAATCAAACAATCATATAATCTCAGGAAACATGGCCTGAAGAGGGCAATGAAATAATAGTGCATGTGACACATGAACCACCAGCCACCAACATATGTCGTTCCTACTTGCACTAGGATATGAAACTTATTCGCCTTTTCATATAGGAATTTACAACTATCTTATGCGGGAAACGGGCGGGGGTGTAGAAAAATCTCTTATGAAAGTTCATAACTATGTGCAGTTTTCAGAGAACAAATAGGAACATCAACAACAGAAACTACAAATGCTCTATATATCATAAGGTGATTATATATGTCATCTAGCATATAATACACAGCTGTAAATACTGACGTTATTACCTTTGCGGATTGCGCGCTTTGTTTTTGAGAGGAAATCAATCGAACACGAGGATCCACCTTCTGGCACAAAACTTTGCCAAATGATCTTCTGCAGCTGTACTGATAATCCATAAGACATTTGACACGGTCCCTAAGATCCTTATTTACTTCAATCTTTGCTTCAATGTTAATCATCTTCCTTCTAATAAACTTCTGGCATGCTCTGTTCTTCTTGAGAGCATCCACTAACAACAGTGCAGCTTTTGGGAACCCAGTTTGAGTGTTTGCATTCATATTTTTCTTCTGTGCATCCTCTTCACCAGGTCGATGTGCAATAAATTCATCATTCCCTCCTTTTGATGCCTCGTTTTTCATGTTCTCCAGTGGACCAGTGGAGGTACCTTCAGTAGGTAAATAAAGATTAAGGGCTCGTTTACCTATCGACATATATGCTTATTTACCTAATAATTCAAGAATCATGATAACACTGCATATGTTGAATTTTCGATTATATAATGGTACATGTGACTTCAAGAGAACAGGGCTCTGCTTACATGTAATAACTCGTGAATCAGAAAATCAACCATATATTGCATCTAATTTGTCAGCAAAGAGTTTTTAATGGTTTATTCAAATGCATTGCAATTCAGCTAACAGGATAACGCATCATATTGTGTTAGCTCGGCCCATAGTTTATAACATTCAAAGTTAACACTGTATATGAGTCACTACAAATGTAGCACATTTTAGTTACTATCCTTTAAAAGACATCATTGCTACATATGATTCAGAACAGTATAAAATCAGAAATGCTCTAAGAAAATGATGGCAATCCGATGGTTCTTTCATACCAAACGAAATGCACCGAATGTTTCATGATTAAATGTGATCAAAATTCAGCCTGCAAGTTTCTCATGGTATAATATTTTTAGATATCTTTCGAGGATAGGGATTACCAGGCGCATCCAAATTGGAACTGGGAAGAAGCGGATCGCGAGTGGACTCACCGGAGTGGTAGTGCGAGAAGCGGCGCTGTATCGCGCGGAGCGTCTCGAGGTCGTCCTCCTCGTCGTCCTCCGCGTCGGAAGGCGGCCAGGCGCAGATCGGGCGCGGCGAGGAGGGCGAGGCCTTGTTCAGGTGGAGGTTCTCGCGGATGCTGCGGACGAGGGCGAGGTCCTCGTCCTCCTCCTCCCCCTCCCCCTCGTCCGACGAGCCATCTCTTGCCGCCGCCGCCGCCGCCGCCGCTGTCGTCGTCGCGGAGGGGACGGCGAGGTAGGAGGAGGCCTGTGCGACGGCTGCGTCCGGGTCGGCGCCGGAGATGATGCAGGAGCGGCGGACAAGGTCGAGGTCCTCCTGGAGGCCCTCGTCGAAATCGGGGTCCGAGTCGTCGTCGGAGTAGAAATCCATCGATGCGGCAGCAGATGCGCCGGCTGTGGCGATGGGGCGCTAGGGTTTACTGAGGGTTTTGCGGCGCCGGGAGGGCAGGGGATTGGAGGGGGCGGCGGCTGCCCGTGGTTGTGCTGGTGCTCGCTCCTTTCTTGGTCGGTCTCGCGCTCGCGTTTGGTGGTGATGCCGTCGCAGGGGGTTTGAATCCTCCGCGAGACAGGGGACAGGGGAGGGGAGGGGAGGCGGAGGCACGCCAGAACCGCCTCCAGCAGACAAACAAATTTGAGCCCCCCCATAAAAAAAATGAGCCCAATACCTAAAAACTGGGCCCTTTTAGCTCCAACACAAAAGACGTTTGTGGCCTATTGGATCGAAACGAACAAAAATAACGGTGTCGTTCGCGCCCGCTGCTTTCGTAGGAATTCACCCCGACGTTTGTGGCCTATTTCGTCATCGCCGGTCCTAGAGAAACCACGGACGCCGACGCCGCGCATCGTCTCCAATCCCGCCCGCTTCACGGTCCAAGGCCGTCTGCTACTTGTGAGATGCGTTGAGATTTTTCCGAAGAAGAGAGGAGATGTAATACAAACGTACAGTAGAAATAAATCCCCTAAGTGAGAACCAAGATTTATATCAAACCAAAAGAAGAATCACGCAAACCCTCGTGAACAGCACATGCACACAAAAAAGCAAATACTTGTACCCAACGCAAATAAGAGGGCTGTCAATGAACTTGGTCGTTGCTTGCAAGCATTAAATCTTGTAGTGTTGGATAGGTAACTTAAAAAAGGAAATAGATAATAATAAAAACAAAGTAACACTTTTAAGCAAGATGACATGACGTAGATAAAGTAAACTCAACTTACATGAATAAAACCCTATCGTTTTACCCTTCATGCCAACAATACAAATATGTGTCATGTCCCCTACTTTTTCACTTGGATAGAGCACATCAAGATTGAACCAACCACAAAGCGCCTCTCTCACTGAAGGTAAATTAATCTAATTGGCCAAATTAAACGGATAGGTCGAAGAGAAATAGAAAGCTATAAAAATCATGCATAATAAAGTTCAAAAAAGACGCAATTACTTCTCATAAATATTTACTACCTCCGTCCCATAATTTAATACTCCCTCCGTTCGAAATTACTTGTCGCAGAAATGGATATATCTAGACGTATTTTAGTTCTAGATACATTCATTTTCGAGACAAGTAATTCCGAACGGAGGGAGTACGTTTTTTGACACTTACTAGAGTCAAAAAAACATCTTGCATTATGGAACAGAGGGAGTAGATCATAAATTCACAATTTATCGGATCCCAACAAAGACACCGCAAAAGAAGATTATATCGGATAAAACTTTAAGAACATCGAGGATAACATGGTATTGAAGTTCAAAGAGATAGAAGAAGTTTTCTAGCTACTAGCTATGGACCCAAAGGTATGTGATAAACTACTCATGCATCATCGGAAGGCAGCAAGGATGATGTAGAAACCCTCCGTGATCGATTTCCCCTCCGGCAGAGTACCGGAAAAGGCCTCTAGATGGGATCACGGAAGAACGGAAGTTTATGGTGACGGAAAACATGTTTCGGATGACTCTATGTTGCTTTGGAAATATTTATGAATTTATAGAGGCGAAATTAGGTCAAGATGTGCTTAAGGCGTCCTACGAGCTCGTCGCTCCCTCGTAGCTCTTCTGGCCTCATCCGAACCTTCTAGGGTCCCTTCTGATCCAGAAAAAATCATCATAAAGTTTAGTCTCATTTGGACTTCATTTGGTACAGATTTTCTGAAGAAGCCAAAAAATAAGCAAAAAACAGGAACTAGCACTGAGCGCTATGTTAATATGTTAGTCCCAAAAAATGATATAAAATTGCATACAAAACATCCAAGATTGACACTAAGATAGCATTGAATAGTAAAAAATTATAGATACGTTCGAGACGTATCACCGCTCTGGTCTCCGCTTCTGTAGACATGCTGCTTATATATGTACATGGAGTTTCGTGTGCTCTTCATGACCGCGTCTCCATCACGACCGCAAGGTGTTCGACACTTTGCTTGCAAGGTACCATAAATAGTGGGGATGAGTATTTTTTTTAACAACTTCATTTTGTTCATTGGATGATTTGTCGTCGGACGATGAGGAGCTTGTGGTTGATGCATTGGTCGGCAATGACCACATTGCTACGCCGCGTCCGAGGTTCAGGGGATTAATCTCGGGCCATGTTCCAGCATTGAACCACAATAGAGAGAGCGATCATTGCCTGCTCTTCGCTGATTACTTTTAGTGCACGTCCCCGCTCTTCAAATTCCACCTTTCCTGGCGCTGCTTCCGGATGATGAGACATGTATTCAATCATATTCGGAAGGGAGTGGTAGCATATGATGATTACTTTGAGTGCAAGGAGGATGCCCTTTTTTGAGTGCGAGGAGGATGCCCTTGGAAAGGTTGGCTTCTCCTCTTACCAGAGTGGCTATTCGTATGCTTGCATATGGAATTCCCGTTGATCTTGTGGATGAGTACGTCTGCATGAGTGAGTCCACGTATCGTGCATGAATGCATAGGTTCTGCAAGACCGTGGTGGCAGTGTTTGGCCCTGAGTACCTGAAAGAGTCAGATGCCGTAGATACAGCCTGAATGTTGGCGTTCAATGCAGATAGTGTTGGAAATATATCCTAGAGGCACTAATAAAGTTGTTATTATTATTTCCTTATTCATGATAAAGATTTATTATTCATGCTAGAATTGTATTGACCAGAAACTTAAATACATGTGTTGATACATAAACAAATATTATGTCCCTAGTGAGCCTCTACTAGACTAGCTTATTGATCAAGAGATGGTTAAGGTTTCCTAACCATAGACATGGGTTGCCACTTGATAACGGGATCACATCATTAGGAGAATTATGTGATGGACAAGACTCATCCGTTAGCTTAGTATATTATTGTTCAGTTTATTGCTACTGCTTTCATAATGTCAAATACATATTTCTTTGACCATGAAATCATGCAACTTCCGAATACCGGAGGAGTACCTTGTGTGCTATCACTACAAAAAAAAGACACATCCGTGACATTTTGGGTCGAACAAAAATTTTTTTGTCATACTTATGACACTTCTATGACGATAATTGTGACAAAACCCGGTATCATCATAGATGTGGTGGGCTCCTACTTCTATGACAAAAAATCATGACAGAAAATGGGCTTTTCGTCCTGAACGGGTCGGAGACGTAGCTGCATGACATTCTTTGGGCCGTCCATGACAGAAAAACCCGTGGTAGAAGCGAGGGCGAGGAAAATATCGGCGTGTTCCCGGTTACGGTGGGTGGTCGGGGCCGAGCGATGCACGGAGGTTTGCGTGTTTCTCTCGTACACGCACGCACGTGGGTGCGAGGCGTTGGGCTCTAACTGAACCCGAGCGAGGCGTTCGCCTACTGAACCCGAGCGATTGCACTGCAGGCTACGCGTTACTGAACCTGAGCGATCGATCGATGGCTGTTAACTGAACCCAATCGAGCGATTCCTTCACTACTGCTGCTAACTGAAGCCAATCGATGTTGCCTCTGAATGAATAGTGAGCGTTGCTAGGGGGTTTGGATGAACAGCTCCCAGTGGGGGTGGATGAACAGGACCCCATGGTGTTGCCTCTGGATGAACAGGACCCCGATCGATCGAGCCGGTTGGGGCTGGATGAACAGGACACCGTGGAGGGCTGGATGAACAGGACGACCCCGTGGAGGGCTGGATGAACAGTAGATGGTGGAGGGCTGGATGAACAGTAGCCCGTGGAGGGGTGGTTGAACAGGAGCCCCTGGAGAGGGCTGGTTGGTTGAACAGTAGCCGGTGGAGTAGCGCGCGGTGGAGGCTGGATGAACAGGAGCCCGTGGATGAACAGTCGCAGGTGGAGGCTGGAGGAGGTCGACGGTGGATGAACAGTAGCCCGTGAAGGTTGGAGGAGGTCGACGGTGGAGATGAACAGTATCCCGTGGAGTCCCGTTTTACGGTACGCCACACCCCTCCCGATGAACAGGACCCCCGTTTCGACCGTAGCGCTCCAACACAAGTCTGTTTCCTCCGTTTTGCAGTACACCACACTCTCCCCATCAACAGGACCCCATTTCGACCGTAGGAGGTCCAACACAAGTCCGTTTCCTCCATTTTGCGGTACGCTAGACCCCTCCCAATGAACATGATCCTATTTCGAACGTGGCCGGTCGAACACAAGGTCGTTTCCTCTGTTGTGCGATACGCCAGACCTCATTTCCATCAGTTGTTCCGTCCAAGCCCTTCCGATGAACACGACGACGCATTCCGTTCCGACCCAGCCGGTTGGCTCCCCATGAACATGACGACGATGATGTTTCTCTGTTCCGACCCAGCCATGTACATGAGCCCTGGCCGTACGTATGCGCGAGTAGGCGTTCGAGACCCTGCCCGTATGTATGTACGTGGTCGTATTTTCTTTCTTGCACATTGGCTGATGTACGTACGTGTACATGCTACATGCGCGCCTCTACTACGACACGTGCGTGCCTCTACATCGACCAGTATGTATGTACACGTTAACGACCAAAATGACAACGCTACATACGCTTTGACCAGGTGGGTCCCGACTGTCACGCACTTCCTTGCGTGTGAAGATGTAGATGGTGGGTCCCAGCAGTCAGGGGGGCGAATCGTTTTTTTTTGCCCGGACGCACTTCCTTGCGTGCGAAGATGTAGCTGGTGGGTCCCAGAAGTCAGGGGGGAAACGTTTTTTCGTGAAATACGATGGCCTGTCTGGTGGGTCCCTGCTGTCAAGTGGAGGAATAATTATTTTGCGCGTAATAAGGAGGCACTTCCTTGCGGGCGCCGTGGACCCAGCTGTCAGCCTCTCCACGTACAGCACTCTTCCGATGGAAGTCGTTCCTTGACCACGTTGACCACGCCGCGCCGAGAGCACCAGGGCAGTGGACGACGGTGAGGCCTAGGAAAGGGAAGACACGGAGCCGGGAAAGACGTGGCAGT